ATCTGAAGAAGTGAGGTTCTTACCCACAAAAGCTTATGCTCCCAATACTTCTGTTAGTCTTAAAGGTGCCACAGGACCCTCTGTTGCTTATTATTATTAGCTTTATCATTATAAACAGGAAGCACCACGGTGTTGCCATAATAGAGGGACATATTTTTTTCTCCAGCAGGAATTGAAACAAGTTTTTGTTGATGATGATCTTACTGAGAATGTACTTTTCATTCCAATAAGACAAGAAATTTTCCAGATGAAAATGTGCCCATTAGGGGCCTGCTCTTGTAATCCTTACTGAGATAAAAATCGCCCCCAGTGAAGTCCGTGAGGAATCTTGCCTGAATCAGGAGTCCAGGATGGAATCTGAGGTCTTCAGGTGGCTGTTCAGCAGAATGAATTCACTATGATGGAAAGTAATGAATAGTATCGAGAGAGAAGGCTTCAGAGAAGGAAAACATACATACGAGAAGGAAAATTTGCAAAATGAAATTGATACAGTAAATTACAAATCTTACAAAATGAGACAGTTCTTTACATCCCCTTCCCCTGAGGACTTGGAACTAATCTTTTCAGCAGTAGATCCAGGAATATGTATGCCATGTAAGGGGTTCAATAGTTCTTGTGAGTACATTGCTCTTTTAGTACTTATTATATGTAGCTGGATGAATACAATATGATACCAGCAATAGTTCAGAAGTGCAACTGTAATTACAATCTCTATTTTTGCATACATTTCATTTTTTTCGTAAGTTCCTTAGCTTTTGAACTTTCAAAATATTATGGCCAGGTTGTTCCTTAAACGGCAATTAAAATAATTCAGATTAGGCAAATGCAACCAATCAGATCAGTCAATGCCATCCACTTGTCATGGAAAAAGGGTAATGTGAAAGCAAAGAGATGGAGATAGGATCTTCCCTGAGAAGAGTGGGTTGTTGCTTAAAGGGCAGAGCACCTCAGGCCTTATCCAGCTGAAATTAATGGTGAAATTCTCATTGCTTTTGATGAAACAGGATCAGACCCATATATAACCATCAAATATTATTGTCTTCCTGTGATGCAGTATTTTGCTAAAATCCTAAATGTGAATTGCAGGATAGAGTGGACAATAAGTCTAGGACACATAGAAACATTTTAGTCTTAACACTAAGGCTGATGTTTTTTTAAAGGTGCCTTGGGGAGCTGGCTGCCCATTAATGGGACCTGGGTGTCCGACTCCTTAGGCAGCTTTGGAAATCTCAGCCTACATGATGATGATCATGTTTGTTGTTGTTGTTGTTGTCCTGCTTCCTTTTTCTGAAGACACCTGAAGAGGAACAATGATAGAAAAGACCAGTGAAGCCAGGTAATCAATCAGTGGATTCTTCATGTAAATAGCACTGAATAATCTTCGTGTTATCTTATTAAACAGCCCTTAGGTGTGTATATTTATTTTTTTAAATGAAGAACAGCTACATCAGCGTGGATACAGTACTGATGGAGGTGAATGATTTGTCAAAAGCAAGGAGGATTAAGCTGACCTGCCATAAATCATGTTGGCTGAAAAGTAAGCAGCCAGTATTTGCCTGCTTGCTGAAATGATTCATTAGTATTAACATAGAAGTTCAGTAGGTCACAGGAGCATCATGCTGTCCTGGAAAGCTTAGATGAGAAGCAAGAGTTGAAGAAGTTGAAGACACCCTGATGTGCAGGGACACTCAATTCTGTAGACTTAGGGAAAAGAAGTAAATGCAACCCTATTGTGGTAGAGTATATTTTCTCTGTCTATACTGAGTCTAGACACCGAGACATTTATTTTTTTAACAATCGAGTTCCTGTCTGCTCTGCATATACATAACAAAGGGGCAATGAGATATTTAAGGAGAAGGAGCTTAGTTAGATGTTCTTGGCCAAAGAATTTCTCTCTCCCTATTATTGGGCAGCATGAGGAGTACCAATTAGCTATCCTTTCTGTAGAAGAGAGATTTAACTCTTTGGTACCATATACAACTATAACAGTAAAAGAAATAAAACAGCTTTTCAGGTTTTTACAAACTCATTTAAAGCAAGTTTGATTTATACCACTACTCTTGTTAATAGAATTTAGGCATATCTTTTATTACCTCGGGACTTGCAGTACCACCTTTATAGTTCCATCTTTGAAAGATGCACTTTGCAGCTAAGAGAAGTTATCCAAATTCTGCTGTTTTTTTTTTCTTTTCAGGAAAAGCAAGTTGCGAAGTATTTATAAACAGTGTTATATCTGTTTAATGTTTGAGCACTGTAGCTATTTTCTCAAATGTAGACCACACAATGAGTGGTCATGATATCATAAATTTTATTTTTCATACTTTAAAACTCAGATCATCAAGGACTTTGGGTAAAATCCAAGGTTTTTAAACAAAACAGCTAACCTGTCAAAGCTACTTGGACTCTTGGCATTTTTTAAATAACATTGATTACAGGAATATAACAGATAACCTTGTTTGTGTTTTGCTCTTTTCTGTTATGTTTGACACTACATTAGAACATTTATCAGAGACTTTTAAAAGCAATTTTTACCTTTCAGAAATTATATATAGCATCCTGAAAAGCAATGTAAACACCAAGAAAGCAATGCAAACCATCAGACTTAGGGGTCATCCACTGAAGTTGAAGATCAAGATTTAAGTGACATCAATGAGAGAGAGATTAGGCCATCAAGACTTAAATGTACCCACAAGATCATTAAAGCAATCCTATGGTCTTTTTCAGACAAAAAACAATATCATCCGCATGTACAGTTTATAATGTTGTTCTGGCTCTTTATATGAAAATAATTAGAAAAGCATTTTAAAGTCTGATCCAAAGCCCATTGAAGAGGATGGGAGTATTTCCCCTGGACTTCATGAGCTTTGAATCAGGTCAATAGCCTCAAACTTGAGTAAAAGGGTTACAAAAGTTTAAAATTTGAGATAACATGGCAGTATTACTGTGCAGTAGTGTAGTGTTAGCACTGAAAGTTTAAAAAAAATCTTGCTGAAGCATAATATACTCCTATGTCAAATGGAAAATAACTGATATAATAAGAATATCTGCCCCCCCGGCTATGACCTGGTTTATTCCCTGAAAAAGTCAGAAGTGCTGACAGAAATGTTGTTTGAGATTTTAAGATAATTTTCTATGTTCTTTGTTGCCTTTCACTTCTTTTAATATCTGCACACATTTTGAAGCAGGACACACACACAACATTTATATATATATATATATATATATGCTTGGTAGATTTTTTTTTTATAATGTCTATTTGTAAGCATTTTTAGATGGTTATTGATTTTAAATTTTCACAGATGTGGGAAATTAAGAGCAGAGATTCAGACAATTATTTAATGACAGGAGATGTTGCCATTCAAAAAGTTAGTTTTATAAACATTTAAAACCCAAATTGTCAACATCACATGTCAACATATACAAAGTCAATATCCTTAAATCAACAAAGTATACCTGTTTTTACAATTCATCTGCTAATTTATTTGTAACAAGCTTAATTCAAAACCATTTTTCTTACTTTGCCTATCTATAAATTTTGATTATCTACGGAAATTGTGTGTGTGGTGAGATTGACAGCTACTGATTAAAAATGTTTCCTAGGGAGTAGGCGCACCCCAGGTATATAAATTATTTCGGAAACATGCACTTGCATAATATCACTTTTTTTCAATTTAAATACAGATCTGAGACTAACTTCTGCACTAAATGACAGCTTGTGAAGTCAATAGGATTGCATAAATATAAACAGGGACAGAATTTGGCGCAGAATATGTAACGGTGCACAAGAAAGTAAAACTCTTCATGATTTAAGGACTGATTTAATGTATAATTGACTAGCAGTGGCAGAGACAAGCATTAAGTGAGCTCTACATTTTACTCAAAAACTTGCAATCTTTCTTTTACATATCCCATTAAAATCAAATTATGCTATTTCGCATCCTACTGTAATGGGTTATATTTCTCCCACATCAGACAGAATGTCTGCAGACTAACTAGGCTGTAGGTGTAAAGTTTTTATCTTTCTCGTGGCTCGTATTATTACTATACTTGTACCAAGAAGGCTAGGCTTCTCCTCCTCTGCCGCTGGCGGGTCCACACACTATTGCGTTTGCAGGGACGTAAAACAAATGCGGAGCCTGATCAAAGCACGAAGTGAAGCAAAGCACGGCTGACTCTGGGCAAGCGATGGCTGGATGTGTGTGTTCCGATGGCGGGAGGGAGGCGGCAGCAGGCGGGCGGGGGAGGGGGGCTGCAAAGCAGACTCAAACGTGGTCCTGTTGTCAGATCTGTGTTTTCTTCTTGTCAATCTGCTCCGATTGGGGAGACGTGTCTGGCTTCTCAAGCAATCAGTGCGCAGGCGCATACCATTCCCGAGCCCCAGTGAAATGCTCTTGGACGTAGGAAGGGGATCACCCTCTTTCCCTGTCTGTGTCTCCTTCCCTCTCTCTCCTCCCCCCACCTCTCTCTTTTCCTCTGCTTAGTCCAGGCCCCCTTGTTGTTTTTAACGTCGCCTACTCCCTAGGAAACAGTATCCCCCCAGCTCCCGCTTCTCTAACCAGGCTCTCTGAAGCCAGTTCTGCCTGTTGATTCCTCCCTCCCCCCCCTTTCCTTGCTTGATTTCAAACCTTTGGATGGTGTTTTGGTGTCATTAGGAGATTATCATCCCTGGGAGCTCCAGAGAGGGGGTGGGGGGGAGAGGCTGGAATAATAACACAACTGAGATTTTGACTCTGTCCTGCAGCCATCCCAGTGATCTCTGGATACCAGGTTGCATCTGGGGGTGGCTGGATCCCTCCCTAGGGCTGCTTCTGGTTGCTAGTAGATTGGCTCTGGTTGCCGGCTCCTAGGAGGCTTTGCAGCTGGGGGTTGCCGGCTCCTAGTTGGCGGCTGCTGCTGCTCCAGCTCGCAGCCCCTCTCTCTCTCTCTCTCTCTATGAGCAGAGAGGCAGAGGAGCAGCAGCAGCAGGGGACGCCAGGAGGAGCATTCCTTCCCCGGGGTTTATGAATGGCACTGACATGGAGGAAATACCGTTTCAGAAAGTCAAGACCAAGAGGAAGAAGTGCTGCCACGGCTGCTGCTCCCCCCCGGCCGCGGCGGGCGCCGGGCTGGGGGGACCCCCTCCGCTGTTGGATGCCATCGCCTGCGAGGACGAGTTCGACTGCAAGGAGCTGGAGTCCCTCTTCCAGAGCTACAACCTGAAGCTGGAGCAGACCTCCACGCTCAAGGCGCTGGCCGTGCTCATCGTGCTGACCGCCAGCCTGGCCCTGGTGGAGCTGCTCTCCGGCCCCAGCCTGAGCATCTCCAAGGGCTCGCACCCGGTGCACTGCATCATCTTCCTCTCCCTCTTCATCGTCACCAACGTCAAGTACCTGCAGGTCACCCAGCTGCAGCAGATCGTCAAGCTCACCCTGCTGTTCAGCTTCACCTTCTCCTTCCTCTGCTGCCCCTTCTCGCTGGGCGCCTACGGCCTGGAGCCCCCCAGCGCCCCCGAGCAGGGCATGTGGCAGCTCATGCTGGTCACCTTCGTCTCCTACTCGCTGCTGCCCGTGCGGACCCTGCTAGCCATCGTCTTCGGCTTGGTGGTGGCGGTCTCCCACCTCATCGTCACCGCCACCTCGGTCAGTGCCAAGAGGCAGCGGCTCTGGAGGACGGTAAGTCCTAGGGAAAGGAGGGGAGCAGCGGCTGCTGTGTGTGTTGGGGAGGGTTAGGGGGTCCAGAGTGTGGGGAGTTTAGTTTGTGTGTGTTGGAGTGTGTGTATTGGACCTGGGATGTGTATAGAATGCAGGGACGGTGTGTGCGTTGTGGGACATGCGGGGTGTGTGTTTGTATGTTTATGCATTGGGGAAGTGTGTGTGTGTGTGTATGAGTTCGTGTTGCAGTGTGTCTGTAGTTGTATTGGGGAGGTGTCTGTATTGGGGAAGTGAGTGTGTGAGCTAGACATACGGTGCCTGTGTGGTGCGTATTGGACGCATGGAGTGTGCCTATGGCTGGTGTGTTAATAGTATATCGGGGTATCTGGTCTGTGTAGCGGCTCGTGGGAAGCAGTGGATGCTGAATAATCTGCGTTGGGACGTGTGTGCTTAGAGAAGGCATGTCGCCGTCTGCCTGCTGGTTCCCAACATCACAAAGTTTGGAGGGGGGATGTAGGGCAGAGGTGGGGTCAGAGTTAAGGGAGGGATATTTGGCTGCTGGGTGAAAAGGCAAGGAAAAGCTTTCTGACTTTGTCTAATAGTAATAATAAAAAGCAGCAGCAGTACTTCGTCGATGGGGACACTTCATGCGGGAGGTGCAGTCAATGAACATAAATAAATTCCATCTGACTCACTATAGACTTGGAGTAGGTAGCTAGACTTGTTTGGTGAGATCGCCATGAATTGATATTCTCATTTTTTCCACAGGCTCTACCCCCAGGAGACCCTCCCCAACCCTCGACCCCAAATAGCAGAGCTCAGGGGAGCTGGAGAAACTCCTTGGAAGAGGGTGGGGAGCCAGAAATGGAAATTCCACCCCCTTCTTCTCCCAGTGTGCATGACATTCCCAGTTTAGTTTCCCAATTCCAGCCATTTCCTCCTCCCCACGCAGATTAGTTAGTATGTCATTGAACTTCCTAACAGTCTCCCCCCCCCCCCCCCCAAAGAATTAAGCCGGTGATGCCTCCCTCTGCAGCATTTTTGGGAATGTGCTGCTGCACTTCCTCCATCCTCTGTGCCCCCTCCCAGGAGTAGCTATTTATAGCCCTGCAGGGCTTTCTCCAGCTCCCATGGTCTGATGGGCTGTACTGGGAATGGGGGAGGAGAGTAGGGAGATGCGCATGTTTGAAGCGGTGGGGCTAGGAGTCAGGATTGTCTGTTTAGGTTCTATTATGTTGTGTATCTGAACCACTGGGAGAGACTGATTTATTCTCTCTAGTACTGGGTCAGTTATGTTTGCTCTTAAGAGGAACAATAATGGATCTTAGGGATTTTAGATTAATATTTAGTGATACTTTATTCCTTGTTTAGATTATTTGCTACTTTACTGCTTTTGAGTTTTGATGTTATTCTCCTTGGTCATATCAGGCTGCGTCGTGACACTTAGACATACACCCCCAGACACAGTAACACAAACACAGTCACATGCACCAAGGCATGCATTCATACACCCTCACCTAGAATCTCAGACACACATACATGCATATAATAGATAGCCAAGGAAGTGAGGTTGCTGGGACTACAGGATTACTCTTGGCTTGATGCTGGTGGACAAAATAAATTGTATGTTTTGAAGGGGAAGAGAGAGATAAGCTGAGCTTTCTGATTTACCCAGATAATCTGATGTGTCTATTTTTAAGTGCGTGATTTAGAATTTCCATGAGAGAGAGTGCTGATGAAATTCAGGGAGTCTTCATTGAAAACATCCAAAAGGATAAAAGAAAAACACTAAAATACTCTGCTTTGAATGGGGTTACAGACTGCTTCTTGTACCAGAAGTCGGGAACCTTTTACTCCCAAGTGGAGCCCAGGCAATCCTAATCCCCATGACATGGAGGCAGATATTCACTGATGCTGGGTTACAGCTACAAGTGGCACCTGCTTTTCCACCACAATTACACAAAGGATCTAACTTGCACGACCACGTCTGTTTATGGTATTCTCTTACCCAGGGCTTGACGATAAACATTTTGATAAGCTTTTTGTCCTCTTATTGATCTCCCCTCAGCTAATCAACAGGCAATGTTAAAAAATCCTGCTAGAGGCTGGTATAGCATTTGTACATTTTTCCCCTTACAAAGTAATTTGTCATTTATACAAAGTCCCACAGGTATTATGCTTTGGTGAGAATATTAGGCAGAAACCTGCTCCAAATCGAGCAAATTAATCGGTCTGTGAATTTAACAGAGATGTGTGTTGCTTATGATGAAGTTGTCAGTTTTTCGCACAGTATTTTCACAACCGTTGAAATTCTGAAGCCTGCATAATACCAGAGTAATTGAATCTTATGGGGCATCCTGGGGGTAGCATAGCCCTTTTGCAGGAGCTGCTCCTATGCGTGAGCTGCAATAGCAGTTGTATCTCAGGCAGGGGATGTGTTCTAGTTACAGGATTTAATTCAGCCTGCCCTCAGTGCTCCCTTCTGTGCTGGCCTGTATGAACGCAGGACACAGTCCGTTGTCCAGGCTTGTGGAGCTGTGCAGAGCTGCAACCGAATGAAAGGGTTTGCCTGGACCCTGTATACAGAGATTTACTGCAACCAGACATGCAAAGCAATAGAACAACTGAGGTCAGCTTTTTCAAACATGGCCTCTGACTCCTGGGTGCCTCAGCTTTTGGGAGCCCAAGTTGAGATGCATTGGCTCTGATCTTCAGAAATGCTCAGTGCCCATAACTTCCACTGAAGTGAGTTGTCAGCAAAATCAGGCCCAACGTGTCTGAAGCTGGTCTTGCAAAAACGGAGGCGACCAAATACAGAGGCCACTTTTGAAAAGTTTTTGGCCGTAAGGTTTTCATTCCATTATAAACAGAGTTTCTTTATATCCAAGACCTCCATCAGGCCCTGTTCCTGCTCCCATTGAAGTGCCAAACTCCCGTGGACTTCCGTGGTGCAGGATCAGTCCCTAAATGGGCTCTTCTGTATGCATAAAATTTGCATTCATATAAAAGTATGAACAATTTTGCATATTAAAACCAATACACCAGCTTGTTGTGAAAATAGTTTTTCATGAGGTTCAAGCCTTAAGTGAACTTCAGGAATATTTAGATCAAATGTGATTGTGGTTAGTAATGCAGGGAGTTGTTTATGGGGACTCCCTGGCTTATTTCACATAGCCTTCTACACCACTCGAGGTGTTCCCTCCAAGTCAGGGATAAAGCACATTGACAGGGTAAGATGAAGAAAATTGCACTGTAGCTGTCCATTCTGTACCTGTTTGTGACTTAACATTGGGGATTGGGATCCCCCATTAACTGAATAATTGAAGTAAAATAAAATATAAAGAATTGAATGTTACTTATGTATAACATACCTAGGGTGCCAGGTTTCAGAGTGGTAGCCGTGTTAGTCTGTATCAGCAAAAAGAACGAGGAGTACTTGTGGCACCTTAGAGACTAACAAATTTATTTGGGCATAAGCTTTCGTGGGCTAAAACCCTCTTCGTCAGATGCATGGAGTGAAAAATACAGTAGGAAGATATGTACACACACACAGAGAACATGAAAAGATATGGGGGTTGCCATACCAACTCTAACGAGACTAATCAATTAAGGTGGGCTATTATCAGCAGGAGAAAAACAACTTTTGTAGTGATAATCAGGATGGCCCATTTCCAACAGTTGACAAGAAGGTGTGAGTAACAGTAGGGGGAAAAATTAGCATGGGGAAATAGTTTTTAGTTTGTGTAATGACCCATCCACTCCCAGTCTTTATTCAAGTCTAATTTAATGGTGTCCAGTTTGCAAATTAATTCCAGTTCTGCAGTTTCTCATTGGAGTCTGTTTTTGAAGTTTTGTTGTTGTTGAAGAATTGTGACTTTGAAGTCTGTAGTTGAGTGTCCAGGGAGGCTGAAGTGTTCTCTGACTGGTTTTTGAATGTTATAATTTTTGACGTCTGATTTGTGTCCATTTATTCTTTTGCATAGAGACTGTCAATGTACATGGCAGAGGGGCATTGCTAGGGTGAAATCCTGACATTGAAGTTAATAATAAAACTCCTACTGACTTCATTGGGGGCAGGATTTCAACTATTTTTGTATATCTAGCTACAACATAGTCGTAAAGGTCTACATAGTATATGTAATCAATAGCATTTTAGCCACATTACTCTCATTGACTGCAGTGGGAGTCATGATTGCATGCTGACTATTTCTCCCTCGCCCCCAGTGTTTTTGTGAGTAAAACCATAAAGCAGTATCTGGAAAAGGTAGAACCTACAAAGGAAGATTTAATTACATTTGCACTAGTTTGATTCATTTATGCAGTGCCCAAACATGTGCTAGGTGCTTAACAGCACAGTTAAAAGATATAATCCCTGCCCCAAAAGCTTAGTCTAATTTATGTTGAGATGCAATGAGTGGGCGTTATAGACACTAAAGGCAGATGGGGTAAGCAAGGGTTACTGTAATTACTTATCTGTGCTGTGGGCTCATCTTCATATTTTAAGTTACTGTTAAACAAATTAACTTTGTACAACATTTTAAATATTTTGTTCTCTTGCTCATTAACAGCATATATATCGGTATATCATATACCTATTATATAATATCCACCTGCAAGTACAGTAGGTGAGTCTTGTAAAGTAGTAGGCATGTGGTAGCTGATATAGAATTGTGTATGCAAACCAAAGAATTGCAACACAAGTTAACAGAACAAAGCAGAAACATGGATGCCATTTTAAATGACCATAAATATTTCTTCTTTTCAACTCTGTGGACAGAGCAATATTTTTGTAGTGTACCCTTCAATCTATTTTATATTTAAATGTATTTCAAGCTGAAAATTTATTGGGTCAAGCCAGTAACCAAATAGGGCCAACTTGGAAAATGGATGAGTAAAGGGGAAGTGGTAAATTATGGAAAGAGCAGCCGGAGGGAGGCTGGTGATTTAGAAAATGTTGAAATAACACATTTTATGCCCTTTAATATTTACAGTTTGATTAAGTTATTGTAGCACTTCCCAGG